GTCCCTGTGAGACATGGTCTCTAAAGCTTCCCTCTGTTTCCCCTACATCCCTATGCCATGTTACCATCCTTTTCACAGTGCAGCTCCCCAAGCCAGCTTCGGCTCCAGGCACTCAACAGAGTAGATGAAGACCCTTTTTTTCCTGAGTCACAACACTTAATCCAGCTCCCAGCATCCTTATTGCGTAACATGAACATGCAGCTTCTTCATACAGAACCTGTGGTCTCTGCCTCCCCAAGTGCTGCTGGGCAGAATGTCTGCCTGACCTGTCACTCTGCTTTCTGCTTTTGTGCAGTTTCCCTTCCCTTGGCCACAGTCCTTTGCACCTGCCTTCAGTGAATTTTGTCCGGCTGATTTTGGACAGCTTCTCTGTTTGATCACGATGAGTCTGAACCTTGCAAAGTGCTTGCAGCCTGGCATCACACACATACATTTTATAAGCATGGAGATTCTTCCTTTTTCTACCTTAATGACAACATTTGAATGGAGTGGGGGTGAGGACAGAGCCCTGCAGGTTATGCTTTAAAAGGCTTTTATTCTAACAGCCAGGTATTGCTAGTTCTCTTTGGAGTGCAGCTATGCAGCCTGTTGTGCAATTGCCACGGCTTCATCTAGATCTCGGTGTTTTCTCAGTGTGTTTGAGTGTCATGTGAGAGCATGTTGAAATCCTCACCATGGCCAAGGCACATCATATCCACCACTGCTCCCTTATCTGACAGAGCAGTTATCAGGTCAGCCAAGGGAACTAGATTGGCTTAACATAATCAGGTCTTAACAGATCTGCACCAGCTATTTAATGACCCTGATATTCTTTAGAGGGTTTATGACCTAATCACTGACAAACCTGGTATGCTTAAAGGAATGAAGATGAGCAGTCTGTAAGTCTGGATTCTCCCTTCTCTGTTTTTGAAGATAGTTACTAGATTTACTCTTCCTCTGGTCTCTCCTTTATCCTCCATCTCAGAAAGAACTGCCAACTTTTCAGAGACTGCAGAAGTATTAAGCATGTGAAGATGAGTTCGAGCAAACCCTCAACAACATGGATGTAACTGCTTTATCTCACTGACTGTTGAACCTCTGCATCACAGTATGGCTTTTCCCTCCCTGTGCTCCTGCACCCCCACTTAAACACTTCAAACATGGTCTGTGCCCTGTATGGTGAGCACGAGCATTTTTATGAGGGCTGGAACAAAGCCCACATTAGCTGCCTCAGCCAGCTCAGCTGTCTTTTGTTTCCTCTGCCGATAAGAACCAGACTGACATTCACCATTGTTTCCTGCTAATATATTTGTGGGGCCTTGTCTTGTTGCCTTTTGTATCCTGGACTAACTAGCACTCGATGGAGCCAGTCTTGGGTTTTTTCCCCTTCAGTTCTCCTACATGGTGTTTAGTCATCCCCATGTTTTTGCCGTACTGACTTCAGGTCTTTAGAGTACTCCTGCGGCTGCTGCAGTAATTCGCCTCTCATTTTCCTGGGGGGGGGTAGCTTGCCCTCACCACACAAGACGGGCTGCCTGTCCCACCCCAGGGTTGGTGCACGCTGCTAGCACTATTCTGCAGCTTCTAGCCTGTGGGCTAGGGTAGCCTTGTTTTACTTCTACTTTCGATTTGGTGGTTCACATCTAGACCAGCCTGCCTGCTCTTGCCCTTTTTACCTTTTCCTGGAGCCTCCAGCAAAGCTGCCTTCCCCTGCTACTTCCCAGGGTGCAGAGCACATCTGCCTTGATGAGCTGCCTAACATCTTCCTGGGCTTCTGAGCAGGCCCGTCCTGAATATGGCAATGTTCTGGTCTTGAGGTTCAGCCCAAGTCCACAGTGCCCATTCAACTGTCGCTCTGGGTGCATATGAAGCCTGCCTTGTTCCTCAAGCTCTCTCATTTCACATTTCCCCTCTCCTCCTTCTTCCACCCATGACCGCTGTGCTTACTTCCACCACACATGGAGGTTTTGCTTCTAGCCTTCCTCCCTTGGGGTTGCACTTCCCTTTCTTTGCCAGATGGCCCCCTGCACCTGCACTAGGGCTAACCTGAGGTCCACGGGGTGGCAGAGCTTTTCAGTCCTCCCGGGGTCCATCTGTCACTGCTGGGGCCTTCATTCTCACTTGGGTGGCTGACTGAACCCGTCAGCTGGTCCCCACTCCCACTGCCTGCCAGTCTGCAGGAGTTGAGGCTGGAGTTTGTGGTCAGAGGTGAGGTTTTGGGCTCTGGAGATTCTGTGGGTGCAAAGCTCTGGGATGCACAGGTGGTGGCCTGGGGCCACAAGTTGGGGTAGCTCAGGCAGGGTTTTCAGGGAAGTGCATTTAGCAGAACAGACCTGTGGCAGCTGAGCAGCTGCTGTAGGGCTTGCATGCACGCTCTAACCCAGCAGTGAGGCAGCCGGGAGAGCCCTTTGACACAGTTTGCGGGTTAATAAAACAATCCCTTGTTTGCTCAGTGTGAGGCCCCTCTCAGTTCTGGTCCTGGAGGTGATAATCGACCTCTCAGGGCCACCATCATCTGCCTCCTTGGCCTTGTCGGATCAGGAAAGGGCATTTTTCCAAGGCTGGAGGCAGCCTTTCTCCTAGATCTTACGCTGGCACAACTTACTTGCAAGAAGCTGCTAACTGCAGGGGTGTCACCAGCTGCAGAGCATGGAGGGGCCCTTATCTGGTGTGCGTTGCTGGGAAGAGGGGACTGCCTCCTGTGCTGGGGGGCAGTGAGCATGGTGGAGGTGCTGGAGGGGAGCATGGCCCACCTGTGGGGTTGGGTTGGGGGGAGAGGCAGGGTCACAAGATGTTGGCTGGGGCTGCTCCCAGTGCCACTGGCTCACCCCCATCTTT